ACCCAGTTGGGTTTATACTAGCAATGCAGGATCAGTTTAACATTGGAGAATTGGTTCATATCACAAACTCAATATAATTTGTGATACTTAACACATTCAATGAAAGAAACTGTGATTATCTTCATAGATGCAAAAAATTAAGCACTTATTTATGGGGGAAAAACCTGTCAGCTATTTAGAAGAGAAGAAAATTTCTTTAACCTAATAAATGGCATTCACAAAATCTACGTATAGCAAACATCGTACTTAATGGTGAAACACAGAACTTTCCCCCTTGGTATCAGAAACAGGAAAAGAGTTGTTCCCTAATATTTTTACTTAACATTGTACTAGTGGTCCTAGGCAATGCAAAAAGACAAGGATAAACCAATTGATTGGTTTGAAAGGGAGGAAATAAAATCGTTATTATTTTCAGATGCTGTGATCTTACATGTGGATTCTCAAGGAATCTACAAAAAAAACCCAGTAGAATTAATAAGAGTTAACAAGGTTGATGGATATAAAGTTATCATCTGTAAAAAAAATCAACTGCATTTTAATATGTAGGCAAGAATCAGAAAGTGAAGTGAAAATAATCCATTTAAGTAGCATAAAATGTAAAATATATAGGAACAGACAATATCAAGAGAGAAAAGATAACACATTGAATATGAGAAAATATTTGTAAATCATGTATCTGATGAGGAACTAATATCAAAAATATACAAAGAATTTCTCCAACTCAACCACACACACACAAAAGCAAAGCAAAAAAAAAAAAAAACCACTCTCAAACAACCCATTTAAAAAATGGGCAAATGACTGGAAAAGATATTTTTCTAATGATTAAGGAGGGCACTTGTTGGGATTAGCACCAGGTGTCGTATATAAGTGATGAATCACTGGGTTCTGCTTCTAAAATTGATACCACCTTGTATGTAAATTAACGTGAATTTAAATAAACTGAAAATAAATAAATAAATTGTACCCACAAAACTAAAAAAAAAAAAAAAAGATGATGCACAAATGGCCAATAAGCACATGGAAAGACGTTCTACATCATTAGTCGTTAGGGAAATGCAAATCAAAGTCATGATGAGATGTCACCTCACGCCCATTAAGATGGGTTATTAATAAAAATGAAAAATAACAAGGGTTGGCAAGGATGTGGAGAAATTCAGAACACCTATGCATTGCCGGTGGGGAAGTAAAATGGTGTGAGCACTGGGGGAAACGGTTTTGTGTTGCCAATTCAATCCCTAGGTATTTCAAAGGGTTGAAAGGGGAAAAACTCAAGCAGATACCTACACACCAATGGTCACAGCAGCATTATTCCCAATAGCCAAAAGGTGGAAACAATCCAAATGCCCATCAACAGACAAATGGATAAACAATGTGTGGTCTATACATATAATGGAATATTATTATTCAACCATTATTCATTCTGAAAAAGGACATTCAGAGTGAAATTCTGACACATGCTATAACATAGACGAACCTTGCAAACATTAGGCTAAGTAAAATAAGCAAGACCAAACCAACCTGAACCAAAGCAAACCAACAAACCAAAACCAAAAAACAAACAAACAAACAAACAAAAACCCTATATGGTTTCCCTTATATGAGGTACCCGGAACAGGCAAATCGATAGAGACAGAAAGTAGAACAGGGTCTGGGGGAAGTAAGAATGGGGCATTATTGTTTTGATGGGTACAGAGTTTCTGTTTAGGATGATGAAAAATTTCTAGAGTGTGGAGTGATGGAAACACACACTCATACATACTGATGGGGGGAATATAAATTGACATTTTGGAAAACAGATCGGCACTATCTAGCAAAGTTGAAGACACACATACTCTATGACCCAACAATTCCACTGCTAGGTGTATCTATGTATCCTAGAGTGGAGGTTTCCAAAGCAAGATCCTCAAGCTTCCTTCAGGAGACCTGCAAGGTCAAAACTATTTTGTTACTAATGCTAAGATGTTATTCACTCCTTTCCACAATGTCGGCATTGGCACTTGGGCTGTAGAAGCAGTGGTGGGTAAAGCAGTTGGTGCCCGATGCGTGAATCAAGGCAGGGGCATCCGTGGTGATCGCGGTCGTGTTCTCCATCACCACACACTTTGCAGTGAGATAACTAATAAGGATCACAATGCTAGTTTCCCTTAAGGATGTCCTTGATGAAGAAGTAAAAATTACTAACTTTATTAAATCTTGACCTTTGAGCAGTAATCTTTCTAACACGCCATGTGATGAAACAGAAAGTAGGTATGAGTTAAGCTCTGTTGTTGCGCACCCAAGAATGATGTTCTCTTGAAAAACAGCGCTGTGTGCAATTGCTGAAATTGTGAGCAGAATTAGGTAGACTTTTTTTTTTTAATTAAATACGACTGTTACTTGAAAGCATGATGGGTGGACAAACCATGAATATTCAAATTGGAACACTTGGCAGATGTTTTCTTAAAAGTGAACGAAGTAGGAGCGCCTGGGTGGCTCAGTCAGGAAAGTGACCAGTTCTTGATTTCAGCTCAGGTCATGATCTCCCGGTTTGTGAGTTCAAGCCCCGCCATCAGGCTCTGCACTATCAGTGCACTATCAGGCTGCTTGGAGTTCTCTCCCTCTCTCTCTGCCCCTCCCCTGCTCGTGCTCTCTCTCTCTCTCTCTCTCTCTCTCTCTCAAAATAAATAAATTAAAAAAAAAGAACAAAATAAGTCTGACACTTCAGGGAAAACAGTGGACATTAGCTGTTGCCAATGACAACAGTTTAGCTTTCAAGCTAAAATTAGAATTTTGGAGAACTTGTATCCATCACTGTGAACTTGTCAACTTCCTAACACTTAAATGCTCTTCTGATGAGATCACTAGTGATATTTAAGATCCTACAGATTTTTAAGATATCGTATAATAGGTCAACATTTGAAAGATCTGGACAGCTCAGGTATTCAAATGACACCATGATGTAACAAAATCACAAATAACTGGAAGGTCTCTTCAAAGCACGAAATCAACAAGTAGATTTTAATGTAACAGAGTTCAAAGAGTTGCCTGAATGGGTTCAGATTCCACCTTGTAACTAACCTTTAAGAAACTACCTCTCACTGAGTTTTCCTGTAGTATCGAAGAATATCCACAATTAATTGCAAAGTCTATTAAAATACCTCTCTCTCTTCTAACTACGTATCTATGTGATATTAGATGTTCTCCTTTACACAGGACAATATATCATAACAGATGGATTTTTTTTGAAATCAATAAATAATAGTCAATATATTTATATTAATCCACTGAGTTTGCCCGTTCTGTGGTACAAATGTTCCCACCATGACTGATGTTGAGCTGCTGATGTGATTTTACAGAATATGGTGTTGGGAAGAGATGGGCACAGTTGGCTCTCATGCACTGCCATGATCTGGCTCCAGGTCACCAATACAATTCATACTTTATTTTATTTTATTTTATTTTATTTTATTTTATTTTTTTAGTTCTTTCAGTTAAAATTTTTTTTTTTTATTTTAGAGAGAGAAAGAGAGCGTGAGTGGGAGAGAGGCAGAGGAAGAGAGAGAGAGAGAGAGAGAGAGAGAGAATCTTAAGCAGGTTCCATGCTCAACGCAGAGCCCAACATGGTGCTCAAACCCACAACCCTGGGATCACGACCGGAGCCAAAATCAAGAAGTTGAATGCCTAGCCGACTGAGCCACCCACATGCCCCTCAATCCACATTTTCAAAAGTCCCTTTGGGTCCTCAATAATTTTTAAGAAACTAGAAATTTGAGAAGTACAGCTCTAGAGAAATGGCTGTATCTGGGCACCAGGAGACACATACTAGATCCAAAATAGTCATAGTAACCACAGCTATATGCAACATGAATGAATCTTAAAAACATTAACCATATTGAGGAAAGGAAACCAGACTCAAATGAATACATGCTCTACGGTTGCATTTATATCAAGTCCACAAATGGGCAAGGCTAAGCATTAGTGTTTAGGAACACACTCTTTGGTGCTCAGCCTATTTAAAAAAAAAAAACAAGGAAGTGACAACTGCAGGAGTCAGGTGGTAGAGGGAGGAGGCACGTGTGGCCTCCACGTGTGGCTTCCAGACTCCTTTGCTTAGTGAACAAACAAAATAATAGTCTTTCTCCCATCGGACTGGGTTCTGTGGGGATGGGACCCTGGTCTAGTGACTGATGCATTTATAGCCGCAGCTCAGTGCCCAAGATGTAGCATGTGGTCAGTGAGAGGATTATGGGATGAATGAGGACTAACCAAATGAACCATACAGCATCAGTTTGAGCACAAAGATAGGATTCTCTGTGGAAACTCCTTGGGCAAAGGGGCAGACAGGCACTGAGTGGAGCCCAAGGGTCTAGGCCTGAATCAGACTGGATTTAAATCCCAGCTCTCCCACACGTGGGACTTTCAACAGCTACTTGGTGTCTCTTTGTTTCATTGTTCTCATCTGTAAAATGGGTGTAATGATGGCACCTGCTTCAAAGGGCTGCCGTGAGGATCAAATGGGTGAATGCACACAGATATCTCAGAGTGGGCCTCACACATCAGTACTCATTATGTAGCGATAGAGTGCGACCATCTCAACTCACCCTTGTAAAGAGTGTCTTAAAGATGATGCCTCTCACAGGGTCACAGCACGAACACCAAGCCCTTCTGGCTCCTGCATTTGTGGTGGTTATTGCTGTTTTGATTTGCTTTTATGAGGTCAGTTTTGCTCCTGAAGAATCAGCTTCTCCCTTCAGGAGAGTATTTATACACAATCTATCACCATGGAGACAGTCAACAGTAGGGAATCCAAGATCACATCACCTCTCCCTGGAGGCAGAAAGCAGACTCTCAGGCCCATCTATTTTGTGAAGTTGGCAGGGTGTCATCTCTATCCACTCAGAAGAGTGGCTGGGACGATAAGAGAGAAAGATACCCTACACTCAGCAACTTCATAACATCTACCCACCCCTAAAGCCTGAAACTGTCTCAAGTCTAAAGACTCGGGACAAGCACTTACCATGCAGTTTTTGACTGCAGTAAGTCCACAGTCATTCTCTACCCCAGGCTGGAAGGTGGAGACCAAGTATTCAACCCGAGTGCTCACTGGAAACTGGGTGGAAGAGAGGAGGAAGGTAAGGAAAGGGAGAGAGTGGACAGAGGGCTTGGGGGATGGACTGGCAGGCAGAGGTAGGAGTGAGGTCATTACTATTTCCAAATTAGGGGCCATAGATAGTTACATCTTAAGAATGGGGCATTAGGGTCTCTGTGCTCTTCGGAGAGGAGTTACATTCAAGTAATCAGCAAGGTCCCTGGTATAGCTTGAAAACACGATAGTACAGGTATGAATATAGCTGTGCCTTACAGCATTATTTTCAGTGGAGTGTTTCTAGGCATCTGGTGCTCCCTGTCTCTAATTCCTCTGCATCTTGACCTGAAGAACATCCGTTCTCCCTGGTCTGGCCCTTCCCAGAGTGTCGTACTTGCCAGGGAAGGCTTGCCACTCTTCTACATTGATGTCCAGGGATGGGCTGCTGCTCTGTGGCACCTGTTCCACAACCTTGCCCAGCCTGTGCGTTTCAGTTTTTCTTTTATTTTTTTTTAATTTTTAATGTTTTTATTTATTTTTGAGACAGAGAGAGACAGACCATGAGCAGGGGAGGGGCAGAGAGAGAGGGAGACACAGAATCTGAAGCAGGCTCCAGGATCTGAGCTGTCAGCACAGAGCCTGACGCAGGACTCCAACTCACAAACCACGAGATCATGACCTGAGCCGAAGTCGGACGCTCAACCGACTGAGCCACCCAGGCGCCCCTCAGTTTTTATTTTCAAAACAGAACGAATGGGCTCTTGGTGTTCCCGTGTATTTTAAGGCCACAACAAAAATACTTTGCCTGAATTGGCCTACTTGAAATTAAATATTTTCATTAGTGGCAATCAAGACTGAGCCACTTAAATGTCTGCAGAGACATGTAGACATCCTTATTTCTTCTTGGGAAATGAGCAAAGAAAAGAGAGTGAAATACAATTGGAGGCTTTGGTTTAAGTGTGGAGAAGGTTGGTGGTGACTTCTGAGAATCGGTAAAGGCTGTTTTCAGGGAGAACATTGGAATTCACCAGCCCTCTGGCTAGATGTGGTCTATGGCCATTGTTAGATCTGATTTCACTTGGCCTTATTTGGGGAGTAAGGGTGTGCGTAAGAGAAGTTCCAAGGGCAAGAAGAACTGGCTGAGCAATCCTCCAGGCTCTTGTGGGTGAGGTAGTATCCAGGAATACTATGGGTTGGTCCTATACTTAGAAGAGATTGCATAAAGAGAGCAGAGTTGGAGTGGTATCAGAAACTTGGTAGATGAGAAGCTCCAGCTCCTTATTCTCCCATGGAAACACTTAAGAAACAACTATGGCCTGTCTAAAACGACTATACAAGAGCTCTGGGAAATAGTTAAAGGTCCACAGTGAACAAAAAAAAGGCCCAGTTTAGAAAAAGTCACATTCAAAATGGTAGGAAATTCTAAGGTATTTTTAGTTGCTTTTTCCCCCCATTCTCTCCTTAGACAGCATAGTTCAGTTTCAGAGAAGCAGTGGCTTAGCGGCCATTCCCCCTCCCTTGAGCCCAGAGAGAGTAGAGGCACATTTTTTTTTTTTTTTTT